AAGGATCGCTTGAGCCCAGGAGTCTGAGGTTGCTGTGAGCTAGGCTGACGCCATGGCACTCACTCTAGCCCGGGCAACAAAGTGAGACTCTGTCTCAAAAAAAAAAAAAAGAAAAAGAAAATATAAGTTGAACATATCATTAGCAACTGGATTTTTTTACTATACAATGCAGAGATCTATTGCTACACACTGAATTTTGTCCACCCAAAAATTCAAATGTTGAAGCCCTAGCTCCCAACGTGATGATATTTGGAGATGGGGCCTTTGGGAGGTAATCAGGGTTAGATGAGGTCATGAGAGCCCTCATGATGTGACTAGTGTCTTTGTAAGAAAAGGAAAAGCTTACTTGCTTTCTCCCCACCAAATCTCCAATGTGAGGACACAGCAAGAAGGAGACCACCTGCAAGCCAAGGAAAGAGCCTCCACTAGAAACCTAACAGGATGGAACCTTGATCTTGGACTTCCCAACTTCTATTAATAGAACTGTAAGAAATAAATTTCTGCTGTGTAAGCCATCCAATCTATGGTATTTTATTATGGTAGACCAAGAAAATTAATACTAATAGTAATCCATATTACTATATACAAATATTTCTCTCCTTTTTTTAATGCCACAGGGTAACTACTAATATGACTAGAAAACATGACTAGGATGACTAGTTTATTTAGCCATTGATGGACATTTAGGTTGTTTACAGGTTCGTACTCCACAAACAACATTGCTGTGATGTTCTTGAGCTATATAAGCCTTCCTGTATATACTGCAAATGTGTTTTGTCTTAAGATAGAATTGCTGGAGCACACAACATGTGCATTTTCAATTTTTACATTAATAAATAATATCAAAATGTCTCTCAACTGGCTATAACAATTTATGTTCCTACCATAAGTCGAAGAAAGAACCTGTTTTTCTACACCCTCAACAATACCAGATAGCATTGGTCTTTATTAATTTTGCTACTTTAATAAGGAGAAAATATCATCTTGTTGCTTTTACTTACACTTCCTTGATTGATATCCTGATTGGGCACCTTTTCATGTATTTATGTGCCATCACTATTTTCTCTTCCATAAATAGCCTATTTGTATCCTTTACCAATTTTTAAAATTTGGGTTGTCTTTTTCTTATTGATATTTTATGGCTGTTAAACACTCTGGATACTAATCCATTGTTTGGCACATATCCTGCAAATAATTTTCCTTAGTTCCAAAGGACATACTGTCTTTTAATTCTGATCATGGTATCTTAAGTTTTATAATAGCTATATATCTCCACTTATAATTTTCAATATTTAGCTTTTTTATCTTAATAAGGCAAAACTATGAGGTTTTGCTACCTCATAGGCATAAGCATACTCTCCCATATTTTTTACTAATATTTTTATAATACACTAAACTTTTAGGTTCGGACTTTATTTTTCTGAGTGGTGTGACATATAACTTAATGCTCTTCCACTAGGTGGCCAATTGTCCCAACACAATTTGTTTCATACACCATCCTTTTTCCCCCACAATGATTTGAGATGACATTGTTATCACAGACTAAATTCTCTTATATACTCAGTCTGCTTTTGGACTTGTGGTTCTGTCCTACTGATCTTTTCATGTGTCCCTATATCTATATCAACCTGCTTTAATTACTACAGTATTATATAAAAGTATCACTTTATCTATTAGATAAGTCCAACTCTTTCATCTGTTTCAAAACTGTTTAGCTATTCTTGTACACCTGTTTCTCCATATAAATTTGAGAATCTACTTGCTAAATGCCATGAGGAGCAGGGAGAATGGGATTATGGTAGATTTGTAGGTAAACCTCAAAATATTTTTACATTTATGTTATTTTTCTTGTCACCTAAAACAACTATCTTTCCCTCCTTACTGGGTACATGTCTTCTAAATTATTTAGTTAGTGTTAATTATCTTCTACAGACCATAGGAAATATGGATAAAAGAAGATAGTCATGTTTAAATGCATATTGAGGAGAATATAAATCCAGAGACAATCCCTTTACACTTATTACTCCCCTAAAAAGGTATGGTTAGAAGGACTCTGCATGTATTTACTGAAAAATTCTTCGTAAATTTTGGATTGGTGGACTTCATACTAGTTAAAATAGGATGGGTTTAACATAATTATGAGAAAAGTACATGTAAGAATTTTTTAATCACTTTTCTCACTTTCAGAGTTACAAGGAAACATTGATATCAACCAAACACATATTGGAAATGACCTCAGGAAATCAGATTTGCTTCCCCTTACTCCTTTATCAAAAACACATAATATTTAAAATTAACATTCATTTGAGCATTTTTTTTTT